AACCGAACCGTTTACTACCGGTTCGGTTCCATAACGGTTCTTGATTTTTTATATAGGAACCGAACCGATTTGATTAGTTAAAACTTTTATAATGGTTCCACTCATTTTGAGTAAGAACCGAACCGGTCCCAGTCCTAGGAGGGAGTATATAACTAAAAGTAAAAGTGAAGGATAGAAATAATGAGAAACATTTTTCCAAAAAAAAAAAACAGTGAAAAACATTACACAAGATGAAAAAATCACTCTTTCTCACAATTAAATTCTAATTTTCTTTTTTTGGTATCTCAAAGTCTAAGTTTTGCTTCTCATTTTGTTAATATTTGATGGGCGGAATAAAAAGGTGGAAAGAAAATATTGAAAGTAAATGTATTTGAAAATCTTTATCTTATACGGAGTATTTGAAAAGGGTAAAAAGGTTTTAATTCAAAGACTGTCTTTAACACCTTCAGCCACTGGGCTTTCTTTTCGATTTTAGAGGCGACAATATCGCATAATAACTTCTTATGCAATGACTTTTAATATAAAAAAACAAGGACAGTCACTATCTCAAGTTGGACTCTCATTGCAGAAACTGATTTTTAGTTATGAACAACTATACATAGCTAACTCTAGGGTGATGAATCGTGCTGGTAAAAAAAAAAAACTAATTAACTCTAATGACGATAGGTCAAAAGATGATACCTTAAAGATGGCAATTTCGGCCGACCCGTTGGATACCCGCACCGAACCGATTTGGTCAAACTGGGGAAAACCAGTTTGACTGTGGAATGGGTATGGGGCGGGGAATACCCGGATTTTTTAAATGGTTAATGGTGTGGTTATGGTTCTATACTAATCCGCCCCGTTCACTAATGGTGCGGGTACCCGCACCGTTACCCGATCTGTAACAATATTAATTAATTATAACTTTTTATATATAAGAATAATAAGTATATATGCTAAATTGTGAATACTAAATAGTATATATCATATAAATAATGCTAAAATGATACTACGTAGTACTTTTTAGGCCTAAAACTAAATATAGGTCTAAACCTGTTTTTGGAATTTGGATTCTGGGATGATTACTACCTTTTTATTATGTTACAAGAGATATTAGGTGCATGTCATACTAATGGATTTAGGCCAATCTGCTTGATTGCTTAAATATTTACTTTTGTATGTTTTAGGGTGCTTTGAATATATAAATAACAAGTAGGATTAGAAATTGGTTATTTGTTTTCCAAAAAAATGGTTATTTGGCATCATTTGGGAAAACAGTTACCCGTGGATAAATTGATTCCCCGTTGGGGCGGGTACGGTTCAAATAAAAATTACCCGAACGGGTAATGAGGCGGTTTTGGGGCAAACGTTTATCCAACGGGGGCGGTTTGGGTTTTATGTGTACCCGTCCCCAATCCGCCCCGTTGTCATCACTAGAGACCATGAATATAATGTAGTGTACAAAGAAGTTTTTCATAACTTATAATTATCCATGTATTCTATGCAATTCCGTTCTAGCAAATTGTCCCAATAATTCAATAATCAAACGGTTATATCATTTTGTTGTACTACGAAGGGCAAAATATCCTGATAAATCACTTATTGTACATCATACGGGTGCACTACTAGTTTACATTCAACTAATTTTATCAAACATGACTAGTTGGTCAAATCTGCTAAACTAATCCTTTCGGCAAAACAAATTACAGTTAATAGCTTATGTTAGCTAGTTCAATTGATCACAAATATAGTCCTTCCATCTACCCATCTAGCATTAGAAATTCTTTCTTTCTAAACAAATGTATCAACTATCACTTATGAATTAATAGTATGTACTTTGAAAATAATTTTTAATAACACCAACTATTTGAGTATATATAAAATAATGGAGCAACTTTTCAACTAGAAACCCAATCATATAAGACTTCAAAAGTTGATATCGAGCCATCAAATAAAGGATATTTCGAAATAGGATCACTCATTCAATATTTTGATATTATTTTTGATGAGTTAATGAAGTGATTAAATTTCTATTGCAAATTGCTCTGTATCATTTTTATTATATATTCAAATAGTTTGTATTATTATTAAAAATTAATCAAAATAAGTACTATCATTGATTTATATATGTGATAATTTGTATATCTAAAGTTAATTTTCCTCATTTATTTGAAATAATTATAGACGCCGTCTTATTTAAAGTTACTTTTCCTATGATAAAAAAAAGTTACTTTTCCTCATTCATTCCATATATCACTTTTTCCACAGTTGTGACACTCATAAACTCAATTGGTGCCATTTCTACATAAAAAATCAGCACTTGGATGCCATCATTTCTGAAAACATCTTACAATGGATCAAGTGAAACCAATTTTTACTATATGCCATAATCATTTGGAATATGTGGAAAATGAGGAACGCCTTACTTATCGATGATTAAAGTTACCACAAGTCAGAGGTCATTCTAAATATTCATAATGACTAGGGGAAAGTACGGAAAATGTACTTGTGGTTAGGCCCGTTTTCATATAAAGTCATGTGCTTCATTCTTTATCAAAGTGGTTCCTGTGTTTGAATACCGTTATCATAAGAGGGTCACGCCGTTAAAAACGTCTGAAAAAGACCATTAAAAGTAACTTCGATTTTCAAAAGTGTCCCGAAAATTAAAAGAAAAATACCGAAAGGTGCGCCTCGTCAAGATGATCTCCAAATCACCTTCGCCTTTGGGTTTTTTAGATCTGTTTGATTTTTTTAGAAACGATTTTGCTAATATCACTTTTCCGGTGGACTTTCTGGTGACAAGGGTGGCTGAAAAGAAAAAAGAAGATGGTCTAGGGGTCATCTTATTGAGGCGCATCTTCCGGTATTCTTCTTTTAATTTTTCGGGCACTTTTGAAAATCGAATTTACTTTTAACGATCTTTTTCAAACGTTTTTGACGTTGTGACCCTCTTGTGATAACGGAATTCAAATACATGAACTACTTTGATAAAGATTGAAACACATGACCCTATCTGAAAACGGACTCAACCACAAGTACATTTTCCGTACTTTCCCCTAATAACTATTATCAGTTTTCAAATGGAGAACAATAACTCCATTCGTCCTTCTATCAAGACATTGTTACTGCCCTAGAACTGGATGATCAGGATGTTTGCTTTCACTGTGTTAATTGTGTCACAAATGCTAAAATTATCCCATTTTGTATCCCATTTTGTACCCCTCGTATGTTTGTGGTTCACAAAAGCACTTCATTAATCCTTTCAACAACAAAAAAACACTTCATTAAAATGGAGCAATTAATTTAATTGGATTGGGCTTTTGTGAGCCACAAATATAGGGTGGGGTACCAAATGAGGTACATCTAACATTTCTCTAATTGTGTATCGGCCATATATATTGAAGTTGAACAATTGCGATTAATCAAATAATAATCATCATCTTAAAGTCAAAAGTTGAGATGGACAATTTTGAATTTTTTTGACTAAAAATCATTTAATGGTGCCGCAGTTGAATTTGGGGCGATTTCTTTGGAGGAACTTGGTTGACTGATTTTGTAAAAGAGATCAAAGCATGGATAAAATTATTGATCGAATGGGTACAATTTTGAAAACATGTATTTATAAGTAAATTTTAGTAATGAAATACACATATTTATACGGAGTATAAAAGATGATAGTGAGTTCGAGTTTATTGATCATAAATTAAATGGATAAAATTATTGAACAGTGCAATTTGAAAACCTGTACTTATAAGAAATTTTTACTAATGAAATATACGATAGTACATACGAGTATATAAAAGATGATAGTGAGCGCATGTTTATTGAGCATAAATTACATAGAAACTTTATTGAGCGCATGTCTATTTCACTTTCACATAAAAGAAATGAAAGTGAAATAGTAAAATTAAAATAGTAGGTATAACCGTATAACCGTATAAGTCGCCCTCTCTTGACTTTTACACTAAAGTCTCTATTATGGAATCTCTCTTAACTACTCCCTCCGTCCCTGAATGTTGTTCCAATTGCGGATCACGAAGGTTGACCGACGATAAATTTAAATGATCCCTGTGAAAATTTGGATTATTTTTAGTAAATGAAATTTACATATTCAGAAACTTCATTAAACCCGCTACAAAGCCTGCAAAAAAAATCAATTTTCATAAAGTTTTGATACAAAAAGTAAGAGTTTAAGAGTGATTTAAGTTGACTCTCGAAAAGCGGAATGGAACTAAATTCAGGGACAGAGGAAGTATATATTTGCAAATCATTTTTCCATAACATTTTAGAATTTTAATTTTTTAGAACTAATAAGAATACATTCTTAGAACTAAAAAAATTGTTACTCTTAGCATTATTAGTTAGAATCATTTACCTTTATAACATTCCAACAATTTTTTTTCCTTTTAATTTTTATCTAATCAGTAGTAATCACCAACTCATTTTATCATCCTTTCTTATTTGTTATAGCTATGCATAAACTCACAGAGTCAATTATAATGTGTTGCATGATGTTTGTCGATGATATTATGTTGATTGATGAGACAAGATCTTAAAGTAAAGTTGGTGGTATGATGGCAAACTCTGGGGAACGAGAGTTTCTGGCCGAGTTAAAGCACAAAATTAAATTTATGGAGTGCATGTTTAGTAGTGGTAGAAGTAATGGGCATCGGGGGATTAGCTTAGATAGCCAAGATACCGGTCAATGGTATATTCTGTTATTTGGACTCCATAATTTAGAAAGACGGTAAAATAGATAGAGATATATCATATAGAATTAGAATAGGGTGGATAAAATGAAAATTTGACAAGCTTTCTATGTGATACAATTAAGTCTAAAGAGTAAGTTTTATCATACAACAATTAAGTCTGCATTACTTTATGCGTAAGGTGTCGAGTAGTGAAACAGTTTCATATTAAAAAGATTAGTGTGACTAAGATGCACATTTTACATTAAATGTGTGAATATACTAGAAAAGATCGCTTGAGGAACTATACAACCAAACAAAAGATGAGAGTGACTGTGATACCTTGAAAATTTGAAATAAAAATAAATAAATAAATCAGATAAGTTATATCTGATAAATCAAATGAAAGTAAGATCAAAATATTTTTTTTATTATACTTGGTGTATAAAAATATACGCACACTACATGCAATAGAATTAAACACTTATGTAGCATCGGAAAAATAAAATAAAAAATAAAATAAAAATAAAATGGAAATAAATCAGATAAAATATAGGTGACAGAATGAATAAATAAATAAATAAATAAATAAATAAATAAATAAAAATAGTAAGCATATTATAAATTACTAATAATAGCATCAAATTAATAAATGAAAATATCATATCATAAAACAATGACACATGCTAAGATCACCTACCAAATAATGTATATACATTATGTACATATATTTAAATATATATATTTATATGTAGAACTCAAAATACATTTAAGTAATTAAAAATAATAATAATAAAATAAAATAAAATGAAACATCAATATAAATGGGAATCAAATCAGGGATCAATACACATGCCATGTTCATCAACTACCAACCTATCATTATGTATAGACATTATTATTTTTATTATTATTATTATTATTATTATTATTATTCATACAATTATCAAATAAATAAAATAAACCATAAGGACCATCTAGACCTATAAATACACCCTCTTAGCCATCCTAAACACTGCAAATCGGAGAGATAGAAGCTATATATACATATACATATATATACATAATCTCGCCGGAAAATTCATGCCTATAATATTTTACGTATCAAACTTCGTAAAAACGATAGAGGAGGGTCGTGAGAGGTCTAGGAATACTTCCCAATAAATTCCAGACCGATTCATAGTCACCGGAGCATCCTAGAGGTCGCCGGAGTTGCAAGCCGTGGAAACGGGTCTTCAGAAAAGACACGATTTTGCCGTAGATAGGGGTGGCGGAGCTTCTCCTCGACGTGAGGATCATTTTGCAACTTGAATCGTCGAAATCCGTTACCTGTAAGTAAAGTTATCGCTCGCCGGAGTTTACGGGATTCCGGTCGCCGGAATCGCGACCTGGAGAAGAGCTGGGAAGGAGACAACCCAGTCTTCTTGGGCCGGGTCGCGGATTTGGGCCGGTTCGGCCCGTTTTCAATAAAAAATTAAAAATAAAATAGTAAATGAAATAAATAAAATATGGAAAAATATAAATTAAATACCTGGTATAAAAATACATATTCGGACCAAGAATAATTGAAAAATAATATTTGTAGCTATTTTTAATTGATTTAATTGTAATTGGGCCAAGTTGTACACATTTAGTAAATAATTAACTAAATGACGAAAATAATTATGAAATAAATGTGGGAGCAAGCTAGATTAAATATATGACTAACTAGGACATTTGGGACCATTTATAATTAACAAAAATTATAATTAGCATATTTAATTGTAATTAAACCGGTTAATATATATATGAAATTAAGTGAATAAATAAAGGAAATAATTCTAAAATACATATCTGGACAACCTAGGTCAAGTATAGACCCAAACTATAGTTATGGATGATTAGTAATTTATAAAAGTGATGATTAAGTTATTTAATTTAATTTAATTGAGCCATATAAACTAGTTAAGTAATTAAATAAGGAAATTTTGATATTAATGGTGAAATAAATAAATCACTAAGATTTAAAATAATGTTCTGGACTAAAAATGATGTTTGTAATAAAATAAGGAAAAGAAAATAAAGTTGGGTTATCTAGTATAAATGAATGACTATATTTGGACTTAATAAATAAATTATTGAATTAGTTGACTAATTAAATTAGCGTGCTTAAATTAATAATTATTATCCTTGATTATTAGTGATTTGGACTCCATATAAATTATTAAACTATTTGAACTCATAAAAAATTAGTTGATGAATATAAACAAATTAATTAAGTAATGTGTACTTAATAAGTTAGTTAATTGACTTCATTGAACTAGTTTAACTAAATCAATTAGTTTAATGGATAAATTAGTTAATTTATAGACTTGATAACATTTCTGGACTTTATATTAAAAATAGAAAATTAAAACGAGATTAGAATTTGATTATTGGACTTAATTGAATTAGATTAACGTATTTAGCTATATTGATATAATTAAACTTATTTATTTGATTTAGTTAGTTCAATTAAATTAGTGAGTCAAATAAATAAAACTTGAGGATTGTATAAATTAATTTAATTGGGTTAGTTAGTATAAATAAACTATTGAACTAATTAAAGTTGTTATTGAGATTAGATTATCATTAATGATTATTATTTCGAATTATTGCCTAAGTCAAGTTATTATTAAAAGGGTTAGTAAATAAATTATATAAATTATGTAAACTGAATTTTGAACTGAAATTGATTATTTAAATTCGAAATAATGAAATTATTATGAAGTTAATATAATTGGACCAGTAAACTATTTAACCAAACAAATTAAGAAAAACCGAGTTGGGTTATTATAATTAAAGAAAATAATAAGAATGAACTGGAAATAAACAGTTAGTAAGATTTATTAATTTAATATTTATATTTAAAGAAGGAATTATGAAGTTAAAGTAATTGAAGGTTGGATATAAAAGAAATAACGAAATAATAGAATAGTTATTGATTTAGAATTTTGATCAATATTAGAAGGAGAATTCAAGTGAAGATCAAGCTAGAGATTTTATTAAGGAGATTATCGCAATTTAAGGTAAGTTCTATGTCAACCAAAATGTTTTGCCTCGTACTTATATGTATGCAATATTTGCACTATGTGAATTATTTATGAATTGGAAATTATATGTTTGACATGGATCGAATATTTTGACTATATGAATATTGGTGGATTATTACCTTTTATGGATGATTAAATGTATATTCTTTTTATTAAAGAATATTGGTGGATTTATATTTATTACAAAGGATATTTTGAGAAAATGTGACAAGAATGATTTGGGGAAAACTTAAAGTTTTCATAATATATATTCTTACGTCTCGAGAGAAACACGAGGCGTGGGTGGTTAGGGCTACTACTACTTTCGGTGAAATTTATTTGGGTCGGTAACCAGTCCGGCAATGACATACTCCGGTAGACATCCCGGGCTTTTATTTGAGGATCAAAGATCCTTTGGTGGTCGTAGTAGTAGTTACCTAATTTACCCTTGGACAATGTCCCTTGTGAGTAGGTGGTAGAAAACATCCTGCCTACTTGGGTTTCTTACTACTCGGAGGGCTTGGAATCCCTTTTAGAGGGTGTGCACACTTAAGGTAGAAATTCAGCTTCCAATTGGTGGTCGGTGGGAGCCGGAATTCCGGGATGAGTCGTAGATAACAACGACTCATTGGGCTCGAGGAATCTTGAGTTTCGCCCACTCTTAAAAGAATCTAAAGTATTACTTTTGGAAGAATTGAAGGATGATCTTATCTATTGTGGAAATTATTTTATGACATTAAACCATTTTGAAAATATGAGAGACTACTTTTCAATATATATACATATACAAAAACCTATTTTCCAAATTATATTATTTTACGGGTTCGGGTGGAATCTTACTTAGCTCTAAAGCTAATTTTTGTCTCTTTTCTCTTTTTCTCTTTGCTCTATTGTACAGATGATTATGATTATGAAGATTGATGTACTTGCTGCCCGAGTGTTCCGCTAGTTGCACACGTTTGATTAATTATTGTTGTTTAAATTTGTAATCCATAAACTTTGTTTAAGTTTTATCTGATGACTACTTGAATTAATGGTGGATAGCCTGTGCACTCAATCATGTATAGGTTGAGTGTGGCGGTGACACACCTGTTTTTCCATCAAAGACTTCCGCTGTACTCTAAATATGTTTTATAATAAAGATGTTTTCATTTCAAAATGTTATTTTATTTTGGTGGGAAAAATGGGGGTGTTACAAGTTGGTATCAGAGCCTTAGGTTTTCCTAAAGGATTTGAACACGAGGTAATAGGTTGTATGGAGAAATTCTGTCACCAAGACGATAAGAGTCTAAGGCTGTTGGTTCTTAATTGAGCCTTTGCGCTCGTCCAACTACCTGGGAATTTCTCCTTGTGCTGAAACTTCGTTGTTCAAAATCATTGAAGGAAACCTTTGAAATTGTACCTTCAAAAGGGAGATGTTCAAATATTTTTAAGATTAGGAAAGATAATATAGCTAGGAAATGGCCTTTTAGGAACGTGGTGAGGACCTTGTGAGTATTTATTTTCCTTACATGTATCATGTATGTGATAATTATGCTAATTGTGGGCCCATTTGAGAAATGGGAACCCCAAATGATAAAATGGGAATGCCTCATAGGGCAAAATTCCGAAGTGGCTAAGGTATGTACAAACATTATGTGTGAAAGTGCTTTTATGTGAAGTATGAATCCTCTGTATGATTGTTATGTACATTTTTATATGATCATGTTGCATAGCCTATGGAATCCTTAGTTGAACTAGGATCCTTAGGAGAAAAATATAGAAAATCTTACACGAATACTTTATGTCATTAAGATATCATGGCACCGAGAAGAGACCCTGATAACACGCCCACCAATGCTGAGTTGGCACAAAGCGTTCAACAACTGGCACAATTCATGCACACACTGGGTGCTACTGTGCTCCAGAACAACCAAAACCAGAACAACGGGAATGATGCCGCAAAACGAGTGGCATCTCGCAACCCTCCAAGCTTTCATGGGCAAGAAGATCCTCGTATCCTCGAGAATTGGCTCCGACTCTTTGACAAACTCTTCGACGCAGTGAGCTGTCCGGAAGAGCAAAGGGTTGACATTGCTGTTTACTATTTACAGCAAGAGGCGGATAACTGGTGGGTCTCATCAGGCCCAACTTTACGTCAACAACCTGACTTCAATTGGGAAGCTTTCAAGATTGCCATGAGGAAACGTTTTTATCCTGCACACGTTCAGGCCACCATGCGTGATGAATTCATACATTTGAAACAGATGGGCATGAGTGTCCAGGAATATCACAATAAATTCGTGGACCTCGCGCCATTTGCGAAAACAATAGTGCCTGATGAAAGCACCAAAGTTGAGAAATTTATCTACGGATTAAACTATGATACGCAGAAAATCGTCGCTGTTTTGGGTTGCCAAACTCTGACTGATGCTTATGATAGAGCTGCAGTTCACTATCGAGTTCAGCAACTACAAAGAGAGAGGAACCAGAAGATGAAGAGGGACGAAGATGGAGGTCGAGGAGAAAAGAGGGTCAGAGTGCACCCACCTACACAGCAACAAGAAGGGAGGAGGAGGAGAGATGACCAAGGTGGAAGAAATTTCCACGGTCAAAACCAACAAAATGATCGAAGAGCTGCTCCCAGAGATAGACACTTCTACTGCAAGAGGTGCGGGAGAGATCATCCCGGTGTTAACTGCGATGGAAGCCTGACAAAATGTTTCAATTGTGGGAAGCTAGGGCACCGAACCTTCGAGTGTCTCTCAAAGACCAATGGGGCACCAGTGAACCAGGTGCAATACCGTGATGGAGGAAGACCAGATATGAACCAAGCTGGGCCAAATGGAGGACAAAATAACAACAACAATGCCGCCTCCGCCAACAACAACCGCAACCCTCGAGGAGGAGGGGAGAATAATCGTGGCAATGGCAATGGCGGGAACAATGGCAATGGTGGAAACAACGGCAACCGTCCGAACCAAGGGCGAATCATGGTGATGAATCAGGCCCAAGCCAATGCTAATGATGTGGTTTCAGGTACATTCCTTGTAAATTCTGAGCCTGCTTATGTTCTATTCGATTCTGGTGCTTCTCACAGTTTCATATCTTCTAATTTCGTTAAGAAATTGAAGATTGAACCAACAGCTAGAATAGACTTGAATGTAAGAACCGCCTCAGATAAATTTGTAACTTGTGGAAATGTATACTCCAACATTTCCATACTCATATCTGAATCCAACCTTCATGGAGATTTAATCCAATTTGACTTAAAAGATATAGACATAGTACTGGGCATGGATTGGTTGGGGAAATACAAAGCCAGGATCCTCTGTGATGAACAGAAGGTAATCTTGAAGGGTCCAAATGGGAAGCGAATATCTTACAAAGCAATCACTTCCAAGCCTAGTATGAAGCTGATGACTATGCAACAATTAAAGCGACATATCCGAAAGGGGTATGAAACCTACTTGTGCTTTATGAAAGAGGTGAATACAGGGGAACCAAACATTGACCAAATTGCCGTAGTCAATGAATTTCCGGATGTATTTCCGGAAGAGATTCCAGGGATGCCACCCGAGAGAGAAGTTGAATTCTCAATTGAGTTGATGCCCGGAACCGCGCCAATTTCAAAAGCACCTTACCGGATGGCACCGAAAGAAATGCAGGAGCTGAAGGAACAACTAGAGGAGTTGTTAGAAAAGGGGTACATAAGACCGAGTGTCTCACCTTGGGGCGCTCCGGTCTTATTTGTCAAAAAGAAAGATGGGAGTCTAAGGCTATGCATCGATTACCGAGAGTTGAATCAAGCAACTATCAAGAACAAGTATCCATTGCCCCGAATTGACGACTTGTTTGATCAATTGAAGGGGGCTAGCACGTTCTCTAAGATAGACTTGCGCTCTGGATATCATCAAGTGAGAATATCCGAAAAAGATGTACCAAAAACAGCATTCCGCACGAGGTATGGACACTACGAGTTCACTGTGATGCCGTTTGGTTTAACAAATGCACCGGCGGTATTCATGGACCTAATGAACCGTGTATTCCGACCTTATCTTGATACATTTGTGGTGGTATTCATCGATGATATTCTTGTGTATTCAAAAACCCCGGAAGATCACGAGAAACACTTGAGACTCACGTTACAAACTTTGAGAGAGAACCAGTTGTATGCCAAACTCTCAAAGTGTGACTTCTGGCAGGATCGGGTAGCGTTCCTGGGTCACATCATCACCCAGGAAGGCGTATCCGTAGATCCATCGAAGATTGAAGCGGTGGTTGAATGGCGTGCACCTACCTCGGTCACAGAGGTAAGAAGTTTCTTGGGTCTAGCGGGATACTATAGGAGATTTGTTAAAGATTTCTCCAAGATAGCAAGACCGCTAACCAATCTGACAAAGAAGACAACCAAGTTCCAATGGAATGAAGATTGTGAAGCAGCATTCCAAGAGTTGAAGAAAAGACTCACAACTGCACCGGTCTTGACACTACCGTCAGGGACGGAGGGATTTGATATTTATAGTGATGCATCCAAAAAGGGGTTGGGGTGTGTGCTAATGCAAAATAGGAAAGTGGTGGCTTATGCATCAAGACAACTAAAGGTGCATGAAGTCAATTATCCTACCCATGACCTGGAGTTAGCTGCAGTAGTGTTTGCTTTGAAAATCTGGAGACATTACCTATACGGAGCACATTGTAAGATATACACTGACCACAAAAGCTTGAAGTACATATTCACTCAAAAAGAGCTTAACATGAGGCAAAGAAGATGGCTCGAGCTTATCAATGATTACGATCTAGAAATCCAATACCACGAGGGAAAAGCTAACGTGGTGGCGGATGCTTTGAGCCGGAAATCTGAGCACTCATGCCGAGCAACATGGATATTACCAGAAGAACTATTCCGAGACTTCCAAGGATTGAGCTTGGAAGTAAAGCAATATGGCGAAGTAGATGGTGAAATACAGTTATGTACTATGACTGTTATACCATCTATCTTTGACGAAATCAAGAACGGACAACCGGGAGATGTAAAGCTCGAAAGAGTCAAGGAAGGAATGAAAGATGGCGTCAACGGACCATTTAAGATGCATGAAGATGGGAGCATCCGATACAAGGGAAGATGGTGTGTTCCACTGAAGTGTGCAGATATTAAAAAACAAATCATGGAGGAGGGACACAACACGCCCTACTCGGTACATCCCGGGGGAGACAAACTATACAAAGACCTCAAGAAGAACTTTTGGTGGCCGGGAATGAAGAAAGAAGTAGCTGAATTTGTATCCCGATGTTTGAACTGCCAAAAAGTCAAAGCGGAGAGATGCAAACCCAAGGGACTCGTGCAACCCTTGGAAGTACCAACATGGAAATGGGATTCAATCTCAATGGACTTTGTCGGGGGTTTACCTTTAACAAAGTCCGGGAAAGATAAAATTTGGGTGGTAGTGGATAGATTGACCAAAACTGCAAGGTTCATTCCTATGAATGAAACCTGGAGCATGGAGAAACTGGCTAAAGCCTATGTCAAACACGTGGTCAAACACCACGGAGTACCTCAAGACATCGTATCGGACCGAGATTCACGATTCTTATCCCAATTTTGGAAAGAATTACAAACGGCTATGGGAACAAAATTGAAGTTAAGTACTGCTTTCCATCCAACCACGGACGGACAGACCGAAAGAACAATCCAAACATTAGAAGACATGTTGAGGGCATGTGTTCTTGATTTGCAAGGATCATGGGATGAACACCTAGACTTAGTAGAGTTTTCGTACAATAACAGTTACCATGCTAGCATCGGAATGGCCCCATACGAAGCTCTATATGGTCAAAAGTGTAGGAGTCCCTTATGTTGGGGTGACATGGTCGATCAGGTGGTTCTAGGACCACAATACTTGCAAGATACTATTGAGAAAATCAAGGTCATCCAAGAAAGGATGAAGGCTGCCCAAGACCGACAGAAATCATATGCCGATCTTGGGAGAAAACCAGCTGAATTCGAATTAGGGGAGAAAGTTCTACTCAAAGTCTCTCCTACAAGAGGCGTAATGAGGTTCGGGAAGAAAGGGAAACTAAGTCCGAGATTCATCGGACCCTATGACATCCTAGAGAAGGTGGGAAAAGTGGCATATCGATTAGCTCTACCCACGGAGTTGGATAAGGTAACAACCGATTTGAAATCAAATACTTCTCTACGATTAAAATACATTCTTAACATACCGATATATGCTAGGTACATAACGTCTTTCACGTATCACAATTAAAGAAGTATGTTCGAGATGAGTCACATATCATCAATCCGGAGGTAAGAAATCCTAGACTTAACATGAGCCAAACGTAAATTGAAAAGAATATAAGTTAACCGTTATATTATTAGGTGATTGAAATGGATGAGACATTATCCTACGAAGAAAAACCCATAGAGATTCTCGATACTAAGACCCGAGAGACAAGGAAGAAGACAGTTAAGATGGTAAAAGTACTTTGGTCAAACCATTTGACCGAGAATGCAACATGGGAAACCGAAGAGGATATGCGTAAACGGTATCCTGAACTTTTCAATTAAGGTAAATATTCGGTTACGAGGACGTAACCTTTCTTTTAGGGGGGCAGGTTGTAATATCTTATAAACCTATAATACTTCATCTTCATACTTAATTCTCGTCTTAGTTTATGCTTCGAGGACGAAGCATTCTTTAAGGAGGGTAGAATGTGATACCTTGAAAATTTGAAATAAAAATAAATAAATAAATCAGATAAGTTATATCTGATAAATCAAATGAAAGTAAGATCAAAATATTTTTTTTATTATACTTGGTGTATAAAAATATACGCACACTACATGCAATAGAATTAAACACTTATGTAGCATCGGAAAAATAAAATAAAAAATAAAATAAAAATAAAATGGAAATAAATCAGATAAAATATAGGTGACAGAATGAATAAATAAATAAATAAATAAATAAATAAATAAATAAAAATAGTAAGCATATTATAAATTACTAATAATAGCATCAAATTAATAAATGAAAATATCATATCATAAAACAATGACACATGCTAAGATCACCTACCAAATAATGTATATACATTATGTACATATATTTAAATATATATATTTATATGTAGAACTCAAAATACATTTAAGTAATTAAAAATAATAATAATAAAATAAAATAAAATGAAACATCAATATAAATGGGAATCAAATCAGGGATCAATACACATGCCATGTTCATCAACTACCAACCTATCATTATGTATAGACATTATTATTTTTATTATTATTATTATTATTATTATTATTATTCATACAATTATCAAATAAATAAAATAAACCATAAGGACCATCTAGACCTATAAATACACCCTCTTAGCCATCCTAAACACTGCAAATCGGAGAGATAGAAGCTATATATACATATACATATATATACATAATCTCGCCGGAAAATTCATGCCTATAATATTTTACGTATCAAACTTCGTAAAAACGATAGAGGAGGGTCGTGAGAGGTCTAGGAATACTTCCCAATAAATTCCAGACCGATTCATAGTCACCGGAGCATCCTAGAGGTCGCCGGAGTTGCAAGCCGTGGAAACGGGTCTTCAGAAAAGACACGATTTTGCCGTAGATAGGGGTGGCGGAGCTTCTCCTCGACGTGAGGATCATTTTGCAACTTGAATCGTCGAAATCCGTTACCTGTAAGTAAAGTTATCGCTCGCCGGAGTTTACGGGATTCCGGTCGCCGGAATCGCGACCTGGAGAAGAGCTGGGAAGGAGACAACCCAGTCTTCTTGGGCCGGGTCGCGGATTTGGGCCGGTTCGGCCCGTTTTCAATAAAAAATTAAAAATAAAATAGTAAATGAAATAAATAAAATATGGAAAAATATAAATTAAATACCTGGTATAAAAATACATATTCGGACCAAGAATAATTGAAAAATAATATTTGTAGCTATTTTTAATTGATTTAATTGTAATTGGGCCAAGTTGTACACATTTAGTAAATAATTAACTAAATGACGAAAATAATTATGAAATAAATGTGGGAGCAAGCTAGATTAAATATATGACTAACTAGGACATTTGGGACCATTTATAATTAACAAAAATTATAATTAGCATATTTAATTGTAATTAAACCGGTTAATATATATATGAAATTAAGTGAATAAATAAAGGAAATAATTCTAAAATACATATCTGGACAACCTAGGTCAAGTATAGACCCAAACTATAGTTATGGATGATTAGTAATTTATAAAAGTGATGATTAAGTTATTTAATTTAATTTAATTGAGCCATATAAACTAGTTAAGTAATTAAATAAGGAAATTTTGATATTAATGGTGAAATAAATAAATCACTAAGATTTAAAATAATGTTCTGGACTAAAAATGATGTTTGTAATAAAATAAGGAAAAGAAAATAAAGTTGGGTTATCTAGTATAAATGAATGACTATATTTGGACTTAATAAATAAATTATTGAATTAGTTGACTAATTAAATTAGCGTGCTTAAATTAATAATTATTATCCTTGATTATTAGTGATTTGGACTCCATATAAATTATTAAACTATTTGAACTCATAAAAAATTAGTTGATGAATATAAACAAATTAATTAAGTAATGTGTACTTAATAAGTTAGTTAATTGACTTCATTGAACTAGTTTAACTAAATCAATTAGTTTAATGGATAAATTAGTTAATTTATAGACTTGATAACATTTCTGGACTTTATATTAAAAATAGAAAATTAAAACGAGATTAGAATTTGATTATTGGACTTAATTGAATTAGATTAACGTATTTAGCTATATTGATATAATTAAACTTATTTATTTGATTTAGTTAGTTCAATTAAATTAGTGAGTCAAATAAATAAAACTTGAGGATTGTATAAATTAATTTAATTGGGTTAGTTAGTATAAATAAACTATTGAACTAATTAAAGTTGTTATTGAGATTAGATTATCATTAATGATTATTATTTCGAATTATTGCCTAAGTCAAGTTATTATTAAAAGGGTTAGTAAATAAATTATATAAATTATGTAAACTGAATTTTGAACTGAAATTGATTATTTAAATTCGAAATAATGAAATTATTATGAAGTTAATATAATTGGACCAGTAAACTATTTAACCAAACAAATTAAGAAAAACCGAGTTGGGTTATTATAATTAAAGAAAATAATAAGAATGAACTGGAAATAAACAGTTAGTAAGATTTATTAATTTAATATTTATATTTAAAGAAGGAATTATGAAGTTAAAGTAATTGAAGGTTGGATATAAAAGAAATAACGAAATAATAGAATAGTTATTGATTTAGAATTTTGATCAATATTAGAAGGAGAATTCAAGTGAAGATCAAGCTAGAGATTTTATTAAGGAGATTATCGCAATTTAAGGTAAGTTCTATGTCAACCAAAATGTTTTGCCTCGTACTTATATGTATGCAATATTTGCACTATGTGAATTATTTATGAATTGGAAATTATATGTTTGACATGGATCGAATATTTTGACTATATGAATATTGGTGGATTATTACCTTTTATGGATGATTAAATGTATATTCTTTTTATTAAAGAATATTGGTGGATTTATATTTATTACAAAGGATATTTTGAGAAAATGTGACAAGAATGATTTGGGGAAAACTTAAAGTTTTCATAATATATATTCTTACGTCTCGAGAGAAACACGAGGCGTGGGTGGTTAGGGCTACTACTACTTTCGGTGAAATTTATTTGGGTCGGTAACCAGTCCGGCAATGACATACTCCGGTAGACATCCCGGGCTTTTATTTGAGGATCAAAGATCCTTTGGTGGTCGTAGTAGTAGTTACCTAATTTACCCTTGGACAATGTCCCTTGTGAGTAGGTGGTAGAAAACATCCTGCCTACTTGGGTTTCTTACTACTCGGAGGGCTTGGAATCCCTTTTAGAGGGTGTGCACACTTAAGGTAGAAATTCAGCTTCCAATTGGTGGTCGGTGGGAGCCGGAATTCCGGGATGAGTCGTAGATAACAACGACTCATTGGGCTCGAGGAATCTTGAGTTTCGCCCACTCTTAAAAGAATCTAAAGTATTACTTTTGGAAGAATTGAAGGATGATCTTATCTATTGTGGAAATTATTTTATGACATTAAACCATTTTGAAAATATGAGAGACTACTTTTCAATATATATACATATACAAAAACCTATTTTCCAAATTATATTATTTTACGGGTTCGGGTGGAATCTTACTTAGCTCTAAAGCTAATTTTTGTCTCTTTTCTCTTTTTCTCTTTGCTCTATTGTACAGATGATTATGATTATGAAGATTGATGTACTTGCTGCCCGAGTGTTCCGCTAGTTGCACACGTTTGATTAATTATTGTTGTTTAAATTTGTAATCCATAAACTTTGTTTAAGTTTTATCTGATGACTACTTGAATTAATGGTGGATAGCCTGTGCACTCAATCATGTATAGGTTGAGTGTGGCGGTGACACACCTGTTTTTCCATCAAAGACTTCCACTGTACTCTAAATATGTTTTATAATAAAGATGTTTTCATTTCAAAATGTTATTTTATTTTGGTGGGAAAAATGGGGGTGTTACAGTGACATCTATTAAATGTAAGATGTTGGAGTCTCAAAATTGTGGTGGTTCAAACATGTGCATAAAAGACTGAGTGTTTCAAAAGTTAGACGAATTGGGAATTGGGAAAACATGCGGGGGAGGGGGAGGGAGGGTGGACAAAAATAGACATGGATTCCAAGGGCGGGAATGATATGGTATTTCTTAGGTTGGGTGTGTATGGACTGTGGAGTGTGGAGTATTGAACTCATTGTATTTTTTTATCTTTTTCTTTCTTTTTTATCTTTCCTATCTTCTATACTTTTTTTGTTTTTATCATACCTTTTTATCTTATTTCTTTTATCATATCACTTTAGCTTCGATGTAGTATATCAATTCATGTTAGTCGGTCTCAAATTCTTTTAAGACAATTTTGAATGTGGTTGTTAACTCGTTTTCTCATTTCATCTCTTACTCCATGAGCTTGTATGTGTTATTTGCAATTCCATGTTAATTCTTTGATAGTTCCACAATTCTACAATCTCATTCTTGCTGAAATACCATGTAACCTGCGACTCTGAAAATAGCTCTTGGAAATTTGGAATCATGTCATCCAGGTGCACCTTCAACACCCCAAAATTGATAAATTAACATATTGTTCAAAAAATCATGCGACGGGTTGATGATCCACTCTCTCAATACAATTGAAAAAAGATCTTTTTTTAGGAAAATCGGCTTACATATAACTCAAACCATTTGGAAAGCAGGAAAACAGAAAATAATTTAAGAAAACCGTCGTCCCGCGAACCAGAGTCGGAGTCAATCACCTCAGTAATATAACTCACTGATCCAAAAATGGGCACAACTGAGCCAGTGACGGTAATCCTAGTTAAATCATCCCCTACCACCAAATCCAAACATAATGTATTACAATCACAAAAATAGAGAAAGCAGCAAAAGGAAATACAAAACCCTGCCAGAAACAGAAAAAACACAACAGAAAAAGAAACAACAACCAAAGGCACGAACAAACACACCGCAGCACCAACCCATCTTCATCTGTAGCACCCACACCCTTGACGAGCTTACCCCTCTAAGTCCGTCGCCTCCCCATTTTTTGTATTATCCAGAGCCATCTCTTCGGTTTTGAGTTGTCTCTATTTCCCAAGTCCGCCTACGCTTTTCTCCCGAAGCTTCTTCACTTTATTTCAGAACCACTTCCTTATTGGAAGTACTACCCGAGTCAGTTGCATCTTCATTATCCCTTAGTGATTTTCCTACTTTTCCTTGCTCCTTCCACCCCTGGCTCTCCCATCCCGAACTCGAGTCCTCCCCAATCAACCATTTATTTTTTTCCTGTAGAACTGGTCTTCACCCCTCCACCTACCCTGAGAGACGCATCAAAACTCTTTTCTAGTACAAGTCCCTCCTCATACATAAGAGGACATAACTTTTCAGAGTGCCCCATAACCCTACAAATAAAGCAAAAATTGGGAAGTTTCTCATATTGAAAATCTACCCAATATCCCACCCCATCTTTTTTCAGCGTTGTACCCTTCTTCAGGGGGAACTTTATATTAACACAAGCTTTAACACGCAAATACGGCCTCCACTGCCCCCCATAATTATTCTTATCATAATCAACAAACTTACCCAAAAAATTACCCACTTTCCTAGCAGCACCTAAGTTCAATACATCATAGGGATTAGGGAACATTATGAACCCTAACCCAAAATTCGGCCTCATTCAGAATAATCTTGTGAGGAATATCAATAGGTTTGATCTCTTTAACAATTAATAGATTCCTCTCAAACTGCCATGGTCCGCCTTCAATCACACGCTTCATATCCACAGGATGATTAAAATTAAAGATATACCTTTTTTCTTCTATTTCTTTGACCTCCATCCCTATGCCTGGTCTCCACGCCGATGCCAACGCCTCTTTAAGGCTAGCAAAGTTGATCTTCCGGTCTGCAATCAGTGCTCCAACCACCGAGAACCGCGACCGAGCCACCTCCCTGTCCTCCTCTCCTTCCTCGGCATCGTCGTAGTCCAGTTCTGGCTCCTTCTCCGCCACCTTCATCCGCCTATACCTATCCGCTATGGTCTCCTTCCTTGAGCGCAACAATATGCGATGCACCCCTCCTCATTCTCGGCTTATCACGCAAGCCTCGTTTTTACCTTTTCCGTTCACCACTCCTCGCCCCCGCTTTATAGCCTCAACCCCTTCCCAAGATCATTACTTCCGATGAAGCACCTTGCCTCGGCAATATCGCCAAGACCGGGCCGAAAACTAGCGACGTGAAGCCCTAGACTTATTGAAAGAAAAAAAAATGATTAAATAAGATTAAATAATGATCATTTGAAAACATAAGATTAAATAATGCTCTTTACTAGGCATGGAGTCGGACCCAGGCCGGGCCGGGCGATCAAGTCTTTTGTGGATGGGGGAAGGCTCGGGTTGCCACCGGGTCCGGTTCGGGCCGGGCCAGGTCTCGGGCCGGGTCTCGAGCTGGCTTGTAATTTTTTTGTTTCCTAACTACCCCCCCCCCCCCCCCCAAACCCCCCCAAGACATCAAGCCCAACCCGGGGAAACCCAAAAAAACTAAAAAAACAAAAAAAAACACAGTTTTGGCCCAACCGGGCCCGGGCCTGACCGGGTCCCCATTTGTGCAGCCCGAGTCCGCCCGCTTATTCCATACAACCGGGTCATAGACCGGTTTGGGGCCCGAAACCCCGGGCCGGGCCAGGCCAGGCCCGCACAGTAGCAGGTCGGGCCCGCACAGTAGCAGGTCGGGCCCGCACAATAGCAGGCCGGGCCGGTTCCTGGGCCGGGTGGCCCGAGCCAGGTCCAAGGCTACTCCGTACTCCATATCACTTGGACTAAGGTTTGGATGTTGTATCGATTCACTTGGATTAAATAATACCCCATCTCACTTGCCGCTTATCATTCATAGATCACTAATATTACGTACATATTTTTGGAGTTCTTTATATAACCAACTATTTGCATTTGTATATATAATAAAAGTTGTATTAAGTCACATCTATGTGATTTAAGCGCAAACAATTCAATCACATTAACTCGTTAACCCAAAGAAAAAGTATACTAAACTCAAGATTGACATAATAAATTGAAAAACGTACACAACTCCCCACATATCAAAGGGAGATTAAAAGAAATGCATATATTACACAAAATCTGCCGACAGTGGCAGTCGATTGAATCATATATACAACTCGCAGAAAAAAATAACCAAAAACATGTACAAAAGAATATGGAGGTATCTGTCTATGGTTGAGACAGGTAGGTGATCATCATCTTAAAAACAAAATCATAGATCAACCATATATGTGCATTCCCTCTTCCCTGGGATGAAATCAAATGCAACCGCCTCCCTGAAGAATATTTAAGAAAAAATGTGTCGGGTAGCTGGTAGGGTTCTGTGTGTGTGACCTTATACATAGGAACTAAAACAAAGCTTTCAAACTATAAATGCTCAGAATATGTATCCGAAGAAACAAACCTACAAATTACTACTCTGCTGAGGTAGGGGCGCAGGAAGTGCTATCCTCAAGCAAATCGGTCTGCGACTTGTTACCCAACGTGGTGGAAGATGACCACTGATCTGGAATCATCAGAAAGTAGGTGGTCATAGCCTTCCGGAACCTTTTTTTATACTGCTTAGGTGAGATTACGGTCGGGGAAGCATTTTTGGGCCCACCTAGGATCCCAGAAGCTTTAACCCAAGTCTCTAGATGCTTGTCCCATGTATACTGTCTCATAAAGTCAATAATTCCAAGAACTAGTTCATGCTTCTCTTCATCAACCCCAACTAGTAGAGAGTAATCCATTACATCAACTGACTGCAGCAACATTGTTAAAAAATACAAGTGATTCTTCTTCGTCACTAATTATAACAGCAAATCCATTTAACTAGGTTATAGCATGTGTCGGGTTAGGCCCCAGCCGTAGATTTGAACCCGGAGTGCTCGAGTAGTAATTTACAAGACACAAAAATAGACCCTAAAAACTTCTGGTGCAATTCGGGATTGTGGAAATGAATCGAGTTTCATTGGGAAGTTACCAAAACCCAGAATTTCAAATTTAATAAAGTTTAGTTCAAATCGAAATAAATTTAAGGAATTGCCCAAAATAGGAGTAAAAACGTTTTGAAATTCCAAAATAGGAGAACTATAATTTTACTCCCCATATAGGAATAATTATTGTCATGCTTGTAAAATATTGTCAATTATGGCAGTATACTCCCATATTTAAAGCATGGTAATGCAAAAATATGGATGTAAATTTTCAAGATGGCACTTAAGTACTCCTATTTAAGGGGAAGAACGTAGGGAGTGTTGGAATTGATTCTGGTTCTGCTTTTTAAAAATCGGAAGCAAAATCAGAATCAGTTTTTCATAAGTTGGTCTCCCCAAGCTTCTAAAAAACTGCTTCTAGAAGTACTTCTGCTCCCTAAAGATGCATAAGCGGATTTAAGAAGTAGATCCAAACACCCCCATAGTACTGCTGTTTTGAAATTTCACATTGCTTTTACTCTTGTTTCGAGAGTTTTCCAATAAATTTTGGTAAGACGTCAATAATATAGTAAAAAACTAAAAATATCTCCTATTGATGCAAACACATCTTCATCAATTTGTGTATGATTGAACTAAATTGGTTATTTTAAATCATATATTGGTAATATTGGGGATCCGGTTGGGTTTGACGTAATTTTGTAAACCCTAGGCCCAACTCATGTTTTGATAGTTTGAAAATTTTAACTTGAGTTTGACCAGATGTTACCAAATTCAGACCAAAGCATAGAATTTCAAGTTGAATCCATAAAAGAAAAACAGGTTGCACCTGCACCGTGCCTACTCCGATATTTATATAAACAAATTAAGAATGTTAGGTAACTTACTGCGAGAAAAGCAGTGTCATTCCAGACAGCTCTCTCTAATAGTCTCTTGGCTTTGTTTCCCACAAAAATGGGAGATGTAGGCATCGATTCAATCCAGTTTTGATCAAGCAAAACCTTGTTGCTTCCACTAGAATCTGGATTGTAGCGAGACCTTGAAGAT